CTGAGTGGGATGCAAAAGGAACGAATGTTCTTCTTCTCTATTGCAAAAATGGCAAAGAAGATATATTTCACTTAATGGAAGAATGAGCACGCATATGTGCACTTCACAATCGTTTTTGCCTTAGCTGGATTCACACACATCATATTTGATCTCAGCCACACATCTAGCTAACTTTTAGGATCACTACACATAGCTATTTTAGCCTTACATAATGGAGCCTCACACTTGTCATTCTATAAGACTAAGTGCATACACAATTAACATTAAAGGCTTCTTATTTTAATCAGCTCATTACTTACAATTCTACAAAAATTTGGGAGACTAAATAATTTATTTTGAAATGATTGATGGGTTTTTTTTTTTTTCCTTCGACTTAATTTGTGATAGATTTGTGGACAATCGCAAAGTCTGGGACAAAGGAGTTTGGAGGCATTGCAGGCAGGGGCATATGTCAGCATGATTGGGCAGTTTGGTGTAGGATTCTACTCTACTTACTTAGTGGCTGAGAGGGTCGTTGTCACAACAAAGCACAATGACTCTGGGAATCTCATGCTAGAGGCTCTTTCACTATCATAAAGGATGTCAAGGGGGAGCCCTTCGATAAAGGGACAAAAGTCACCTCCTCCCTTAAGGAAGACCAGTAGGATTTCTTGGAAGAGAGGAAGCTAAAAGAGCTTGTGAAGAAGCACTCCGAGTTCATAAGTTATCCTATTTACTTATGGACTGAAAAAAATGTCGAGAAAGAGATTAGTGATGATGAGGGTGAAGATGGAGAGGGAGTGGAGAAGAAGGAAGATGAGGGCAAAGTTGAGGAGGTGGGCCAGAGGACAAGGACAAAGAAGGGAAGGCCAAGAAGAAGGTTAAGGAGGTGAGGCATGAGTGGGAGCTGATCAATAATCAGAAGCCGATTTGGCTGAGGAAGCCAGATGAGGTTTCAAATGAGGAATATTGTTCCTTCTACAAGAGTCTCACTAATGATTGGGAGAACCCTCTTGCTTGGAAGCACTTTTCTGTTGAATGGCAGCTCGAAACATTCTATTTATTCCAAAACAAGCTCCATTTGATCTTTTCGACACGAGGAAGAAGGAGAACAACATCAAGCTCTATGTGAGGAAGGTGTTTATCATGGGCAACTGTGAGGAGCTCACCTCGGATTTGTGAAAGGTGTTGTAGATTCTGACGATTTGCCACTTAACATTTCTCGAGAAATGCTGCAGCAGAACAAGATTCTTAAGGTTATTAGGAAGAATTTGGTCAAGAAGTGCATTGAGCTGTTCAATGAGATTGCTGAGAATAAAGAAGATTATATGAAGTTTTACGAGGCTTTCTCTAAGAATATCAAGTTGGGAATCCATGAGGACAACCAGAATAGGCGTAAGTTGGCTAATTTGCTCAAGTACCACTCCACGAAGAGCGATGATGAGATGACAAGCTTGAAGGATTATGTTACGAAGATGAAGGAAGGCCAAAATCACATTTACTACATCACCGGTGAGAGTAGGAAGGCAGTGGAGAACTCACCCTTCTTGGAAAGGCTTAAGCGGAAGGGGTATAAGGTGATCTTTATGGTTGATGCCATTGACGAATATATTGTTGGGCAATTGAAAAAGTACGATGGGAAAAAGCTCGTGTCACCAACCAAGGAAGGGCTTAAGCTCGAGGACGAATCAGAGGAAGAGAAGCAGAAAAATGAGGAGAAGAAACAGTCGTTCAAGAACTTGTGCAAGACGATCAAGGACATTCTTAGGGAGAGAGTTGAGAAGGTGGTGGTGTCTGATAGAATTGTGGACTCGCCTTGCTACTTGTTGACCGGAGAATACAGGTGGACAACCAACATGGAGAAGATCATGAAGGCTAAGGCTTCGAGGGACAACACCATGAGCGGTTACATGTCCAGCAAGAAGATTATGGAGATTAACCTTGACCAAGGCATAGTGGATGAGCTAAGGAAGAGGGTTGACACTGATAAGAATAACAAGTCAGTGATGGAATTGTGCTGCTGTTTTATGACACTGCTCTTTTGACTTCTGGTTTCAGCCTTGATGATCCTAACAGCTTTGCCGGGAGAATTCACAGGATGCTGAAATTGGGTCTGAGCATCGACTAGGATGACACCGTGCTAGTCAATGACATCGACGTGCATTCGGCAGAGGAGAATAAGATTGAGGAGAGTCAGATGGAGGAAGTCGACTGAGCTTTCATTAATAATCTGAAGCCTACGTGTCGATATCGGATGTTACTCGTGTGTTTTTGTTCATGTTTCTTGTAGAGCACGTCTTAAGATCTTTTTAGGATCTGTTTAATGTTGGTAACTTTCTGTTTAAATGTTAATGATCTTTCTTTTTCTTGAGTCGGAGTCTTTCCTGTTGCTTTTTTGTGTAAATCAAACTGTAAACTAGATCCAGCAGTTTCTGACACGACATGAAAACGACACGAAAATAACGGGTTTCGGGTCAACACGATAACTTATCGGGTGTTCTTAACGGGTATACATGTGGGTAACACGTAGGTAACCCATTTCGACCTATTAAGAAAAATTTTATTTTGATAATTTTAGTTTAATTACTAAAAAATTTATTATAAAATACAATAGCCATATTAATATATACAATATATTCTATATTAAATATATAGTTTTATATTATTATTCTATATAAGTTAAAAAAAAAGTTTTTGTCATTATTTATTTTTATTATAAGAGTTCCTTATTATCATTACTAGGATAAATTTTACTTAACATGTTGTTGTTAAAAATTAAAATAAACTAATATAGTATTTGTATAGGCAAGAACTAAGAAGACATATATATACATATGAAAAATGTGAAAGAATATATAAACACTCGTGATTCATCATTATTCCTCTACGAGTAGATAATGGTTACACTTGCATTATCGTTTAAATTTTTAAAATCCTCCAAACCCTTGTGAATAATGTTTTTTATTTGAGGGCAAAATTAATAAATTAATAATAATTATTGTTGAAGTGTTAAAAATGTAAAAACAAATATACAATCACTCATAGTGACAAGCTTTACAACTTTCATGAAAGGGTCCGCTTCGAAATCCAACACTATAATTCATAAACCTTAAATTTATATTTAACCGTCGATTGCCATTTACGCTTTATTCTTCTTACTAAATTTCATTTTTTAAATTTTCTTTTTTGAAAACATGATCATCTGGCAGATGTAAGAAGATGAACGGTTCAGATCTTTGATATCACGTTTCGATATTTACGGTTAACTGAAATATGAGTCGATGTTTTATAGTTTGTAGAAACTTTATAAACATCAAGTAATATTTTCACTAACCGTAAAACTCTGAATATAATATCAATGATTCAAACCGTTCATCTTCCTGCATCCTCTAATTGATCAAGTTTTCAAAAAATAAAATTAGATGAGAACAATGAAGCATAAATGTAAACAACAATCAACGGTTAAATTTTGATCTATGATTTATATGATTATAGTGGCGAATTTCGAAGTTAAGCTCTTCATAAAAGTTGTAAAGCTTGTCATTATGAGCATTTATGTATTTTTTTTATATATATTTTTACACTTCCACATTAATTAAAAAACTATTAAAGACTTTAGGTAAGTAAAAATATACTTAAAAGAAAAATGCGTTTTTATGTTTTGGATGTGACAATATGGTATGTATATACTTATTTAGTATTATGTTTTTCATTTGATTATTTATTGGTTTAAAATATATTTTCTTTAACTGGTAACAGGTCGGGTTATATTACCTGTTAATATTATCAGGTCGATTTCGGGTCAGGTCATTTTACCTGTTTATTTTAACTGGTGTTACACGACACGACTCGTTAAGATATCGGGTATAACACAAAAACGACACAAACACGGAAAGCATGACACGAATATCAGGTCTACTGCAAACCTCCAACCAAGTTTCCAACCAACTGAAGACCGAATGTTGTTAAACCTAACCAACCAATCAAAATGCTCGTTCACTCAAGGAAGAGTAAATTGTAACTATTGTCCTTCAACTTTAATCAAATTGGAGCAATGGTTTGTCAACTAAAAATCTATTATCATTGGTCCCTCAGCTCATTAAAATGTGTAGCTATGGTCTTTTTTGTCAACTTCATTAGAATTTTGTCAAAATAAGTTATGTTGGAAGGATCATTGCTACAATTGGGGTTTCTCAACTCATCAAAACGTGTAGCTATGGTCATTTTCGTCAACTTCGTTAGAATTTTGTCAAAATGTGTTATGTTGGAATTACCATTGCGATAATTGAGTTAAAATTGAGAGATCATTACTCCAATTAGGTTAAAGTTGAGGGACCAATGGTAATAGATGTTTAGTTAAGAGATTATAGTTGCCCGTTTTGATGAGTTGAGAGATCAATGGTCATGAATTTAATGTTGAGGGATCATTGCTCCTACTGAGTTAAAGTTAAAAGATAATTGTTACAATTTACTCATCAAGTAACAAAATATAGGGCTCGTTAAGTGCATTTAAAAATGACTAAAAACACTTTTGATTAGAGTTGCTTTTGGAACAAACCTTATTAAGAATGTAAGTGAATCCTGAGAGTACATAAGTCGTGCTTTTTACAGGAAGCACTTTAAGTGCTTTTAAAACCTAAAAGCACTTTTACCTAAAACGCTTTCAGTAATTTTAAAAACACTTTCAAACGAGTCCATATTCTCCAAGCAAAATCCTCTCTTGAGCTCAGGATGGGATCCTCCTAACTAACCCATATGAGCCATTCAAACTTAATCCAATAGTTGCAATTATTATAACTTTTAAAGAGTGTCTATTTAAAACCGTTAGATTAAATTTGAACGGTCCAGATGGGCTGATCAGAAGGATCCCATCCTGAGCTCAGGAGAGGATCCTCTTCCCCTCACTAAACCAACTAATCAATGTATGTTCTGCTCCGACCATTTGGGGTCCAAACTCTACTGGTGTATAAACCAAGGACTTCACAGACGTTCGGAAACTCTGATCTATAACTCATGTTTGAAGCAAATAATTATAAATCATTCATAGAGAAATTGATCCAAGATTTATATAGATAGGTGAGCAAAAGAAACAATTTTGCAGAGTGAGATTCAAAGACCGAGAAGAACAAAGTAAACATCTAATACAATCCCGCGACTATTTCAAATGTAACCGATTCAAAGACCGAGAAGAACAAAGTAAACAGAATGTCATCTTGTTCTCAAAATCCAGCCTCAGGAAACCGAGCACTGATCAAGAAACAGCTCCCTTAAGAAAGGTTAGAGCCGCTAGCCGGGCCTGCACCGAAACCACCAGCTCCACGACCGAAGCCTGGCCTTCCACCAGGACCCTGCAATTCAGAAGCAATAAGCAAAGATAAGTTTTAAAGGTTTTCATACTCAGCAATATCGACCAAGCCATGGCATATAATAAGAAAGGAAGATAACCGGGACTATTTCTACACCATGACTAAACAATGACTGAAGAAATAATTCAAAGTTCACAACGAGAACTATTGCAGCCAATTTGATGAGTCAAATTTCAAGCAAGCAAATGGATTGTATTCCTATAGTGAGTAAATCATCTGATCATGAAACACAAATGGGCAGTTTAAATGTAAATTTATTGAGGTATCAGTAAAAAATGTAGATAGTAAACAATTCAAAACTTTCAAGAATAGCAAACTCCGTGGCCATTGAAAGGCAATTACTCTACAGCCTTGTAAACAGTAAAACACGAGACAAATTATTTGGCAACAAAAACAGTTACCCCAAAAGCAGGCCTGTAATCAGCAGGAGCTCCACCCTTATCGCCAAAGTCACCCCCAGGCGCACGGGGTCCTCCACGGTACCCATCCCTGTCACCACCGAATCTACGCTCTCCATCAAAGCGAGATGGGCCACTGGAACAGATAATCAACAAACCCAAATTTTATTCCAAAAAATCATAGGAGTTAAACAAGTAACTACACAAAGAGTTCAAAACCATGTCGAGATATATCGGCAGAATAAAAATAACTATTGCTAATCGAACAAAACAACTCCTACTTACATGACCAAAATTATATCTGCTAACTCGCCTGTTAGTTAAAACGCAAAACAAGGATCAACCGAGTTGATAAGCATTTCAAGAATCCATTATGGCCAAATTAAGTAACAATCAATTGCAGCACTCTCTGTGAACTAATTAACTATTGCAACCCTTCTGCAGCTGTTTGCAGAATTCCAAACTAAACGATTTAGTCGTAGGATATCAAATTCAATCAATCAAACAAACTTCCTACACAAAATACTTGAATATAACAACTTATCAGCAACGTAACAACACAACCCAATAAATTAAAATAACCATTAAGAATTAAAATGCGAACAATATACAAATCAACAGACACAATCACCAACAATGAATAGGAAACGAATGGATTACCGTGGGCGGTCACCAGAGGGGCCCATTGGGCGGCCAGCCGGCTTGGCCTGCTTCTTCAAAGTTGCAGGGACAATCTCAGAAGGAAGATTGAGGTAGTTCCTCAAAAACTCGATACCGTCATTGGTAAGGTACCAGTAGTAATGCATCCAAGCAAAAGTTTCTCTCACATACTCCTTCGACTTAAAGCTCTGCATCAGCTTAATCACCTGCAGGTTCGGCACATCGATATCGGGATGCTTCGCCAAGTTATAGTCCTTCTTTGCATAGCAAACTCCCTCTGCTCAAATTAAATTCAACAAAAAATTGAAAAAAAAAATTAATTAAAACCTAATCTTCGAATAGCAAACTCCCTCTGATCAAATTAAATTCAACAAAATAAAAAAAAATGGAAAAAAATTAGCAACTTTAATTAGAAAAATTAACAAAAATCTAATCTTTATTGGGTACCTTGAAAGAGGTACTTGGAGATCTCGCGACGGTTCTTCTCTGAAATTATCTACGATAGAAAAATAAAAAGCCAAAGAAATAGATCAGAGAAATAAGCAGAAAAAAAAAATCTCTTCTCTTATCATTTCAGTTTCTGGGGAACCAAACAGAGGACAAGAGAAAATTGGTCTGAGAAAATACCATGGGTTCGGATGAGCTGACGACGAAGAGAGGGAAGAGACGGCGGCGAAGGTCTGATGTCTCTGGAACTCTTATCGTCTGCTGTGTGGAGAAAACCCTAAAATTCTGATGTGTGCGATTTGTAGTAGGTTCTCGGGTAGTAAGATATGGGCTTTGAATGTAGTGCGCTAGTGGGCTTTAGCCTTTGAATTTAGTGCTTTAGTGGGCTTTGAGGAACTTATGTTCTTGCAACTTACTCATGAGCTTGGCCCCTTACTTCCTTTATTTTCTTGTTTGGTTTCTTTTTAAAAAAAAAAAAAAATTAGTAATGTTGTAAACATTCCTAGTTTAAGTATGATTGTGTAAATCCTAGATAAGATTTGATTCTAGTTATCCTTTCCTATTACAACTTGTATTACTTGGAGAAGAAGGAATATCTTCTCTCCCTTTACTACTATAAATAAAGGCACAATGTAGGAGGGATAACAACACACACATTCCCCTACAATTCTACAAACACACATCTCTCTCCTCTCTCTCTGTAGCCGGCCCTAGTCCCTCTGTCAGATAAAATAGACCACAACACGTTATCAGCACGCTCCTACCGCTGCGCTTAGGAATCTGACGTTGGAGATTTTTTCTGCATCAAACCAGTTCATCCATATCATCACGCAATCAGGTTCTTTCCAAACAACGGCTTTTAACTCGATATTTTGCAAGCCCTGATAGCATGAACATTCACCATGATGCATGACCCAACTTTACGTTTAACGTATTTTAGATTCTACATAAATTGTGTATGCTTCATAATCAAAATTGCTACAATTATGTGAATTTGATATTTGTCATGAATTGAATCCTACATATGTACATGCATTGAAACTATTATTTGCATATGCATCAACGTAAATATGTGATTCATTAAAATTATACATGCATATAATATAATTGAATACAAAAAAAAAAAAAAAAAAAAAAAAAAAAAACGAAAAAAAAAAAAATATTTTAGGGCTGCACACAGCAGCCCATTCCCCTCTTCTCACCCCGTTGGCCTGTAATCCCACCCGAGGGTTCTTGGGCTATATTTTTAGGCCCCGAGATTTTATTATTTAATTTTTTTTAAATAATATGGGTTTTTATATTTTCACCCACACTTTAATTTGGCCCCGAAGACCAAAAAAATAAATTAATTCACTTATCATTATACAATATTTCTGCATATATTCTTTGCATATTTGTTTGCATATATATATTTGTGTTTTGCCTGCAGGAATATATATGAACCTGAAGTTCATAATTACTTTGAAACCCGAAGTTTCTTATACACATGCCTTGTTTGAAAACCCGAAGTTTTCACTTAAACATATCACCCATGAAAACCCGAAATTTTTCATGCAAAATTAAACCAATACATGTCTATTAGAACCTGTATGTTCTACTCCTATGTGAATGGATTGATTTTTCTCCATTACACTAACCACATCTTGTCCATCTATTTTGATAGGACCATGTCAAATTTGAACAAACTCGACTTCACCGCTTTGGAGGTTTCTGGAAGGAACTACCTCAAGTGGGTTCAAGATGTGAAGCTCCACCTCACTGCAAAGAACTTGCGTCCTGCTATTGAAGAAGCAACAGATAAACCTGTTGGCGAGGCTGAAAAAGCCACTGCTATGATCTTCATCCGAAGACATATCCATGACGCTCTACAAACTGAGTACCTTGCTGAGGAGGATCCACGTGCATTATGGGTCGCTTTGGCTGATCGTTTCGATCACCAAAAGGACATATTCTTGCCTGAAGCAAGACACGACTGGCAGCACTTGCGCTTCCAAGACTTTAAGTCTGTGAATGAATATAATTCTGAAGTTTGTCAAATCCGATCACTTCTCAAGTTTTGCAATGAAACTTTGACTGAAGAGGATCTCCTGGAGAAGACCTACTCGACCTTCTCTGCTTCTAATATTGTCCTGCAGCAACAATATAGAGCTCAGAAGTTCACTAAGTTCTCGGATTTGATCTCTGTTTTACTTCTTGCTGAAAAGCAGAACCAGCTGTTGATGAAGAATCATCAAGCTCGACCTACTGGGGCTACTGCTGTGCCTGAAGCACATTATAACACTAATCAGCACCCAAACGCCAAAAGAGGTGTGGTAAGGGCGGCCAGAAGCCATCCCACCAAGGTCAACAGAGCCAAGGCCCATCCAAGGGAGGAAACAAAGCCCAGAAGCGCCCAAACCTCACTCCCAAGGCCCCGAACTTCAAGAATAAGGGCAAAGCACCTGCCACAATGAATGACGATATGTGCTATCGTTGTGGTTCCAAGGACCATTGGTCCCGTATTTGCCGTGCTCCCAAGAAGGTTGTGGATGCATATCATTCTCGTCGTACGAAGTTTGAATCAAACTTCCTGCAAGTGGACGAACCAGAGACTACAAAGATGGAAGTTTCTGATTTTCAGGAGGATACCACTCCTATGGAAGATTAGAATCTTAGACATAGACTTATTTTTCAGTTACAATAAGACAATTGGGGCCGAATTCCACCTTGTGGCCGAACCCCACCTTGTTTTTTGGTTGATTTTGAACAATTTTCCTTTATGTTTTGGATTATTAGTTGGCGATTTATTTTGGATATTCAGTTTTTTCCTTGAATAAATGAAATTATTTTGAATTGATACTTGTTTTTATAAACTTTTATGCATGTGACCGATTCAAATTAATTTTTCATTCTAGGTATGACTAGTGGGAAAGTTAGTTGTCTGGCAGATAGTGCAACCACGCATACTGTTTTGCGTGAACGCATCTATTTCACTAAACTTCGTACCTAAGAATGCACCTCTGACAACCCTCTCAGGCCCATCCAACCTGATCGAAGGATACGGTAAGGCACGTATAATGTTGTCCAATGGTACAATTTTGACCATTGCTGAGGCACTCTATTCTCCACGTTCCGGAAGAACGTTACTAAGTTTCAAGGACATTAGAGATAACAATTACCACGCTGAAACCCACGTAGAAAACGGAGTTGAATTTCTGTGCGTAACTTCCTACGAATATGGCCAGAAGCGTATTCTAGAGAAGATGAAGCGTAACCCGAGTGGTCTGTATACTACGACCATACGCCCCATAGAATGCCACTATGTGGCCGGCCCTACCACAGGGACCGCGCACGAAATTACACTTTGGCATGATCGTTTGGGACATCCTGGACGAATAGCGATGCGCCGTATCCTCAAAACTTCACACGGGCATCCACTAACCCGAAGCTTAGGTTCGATCCATGAAATTGCATGTCAAACATGTTCTATGGGAAAGCTTATTACTAAGCCTTCTTATGACAAGATTCGTTCGAATCCTTCCATTTTTCTACAACGGATTCAGGGGGACATTTGTGGACCGATTCAACCTCCCTGCGGACCATTTAGATATTTTATGGTTTTGGTTGACGCTTCTACACGTTGGTCACACGTGTGCTTGTTGTCCACAAGGAACGCTGCATTCTCCAAACTGTTGGCTCAGGTTATCAAGCTCAGGGCTCACCACCCTGATTATCCGATCAAATCTATTCGATTGGATAATGCTGGAGAATTCACATCTAAAACTTTTGATGACTATTGCGTGTCGGTTGGGGTTGAAGTTGAACATCCTGTACCCCATGTTCACACCCAGAACGGCCTGGCAGAGGCTTTCATTAAGCGTTTACAAAATGATTGCTCGATCGTTGGTCATACGTACCAAGCTCCCGATCGCTGCTTGGGGCCATGCAATATTGCACGCAGCAAAGTTGGTCCGCCTGAGGCCTGTTGCGACACAACCATTTAGTGCCCTTCAGTTGGTCACCGGATGCGAACCCGACATATCGCATCTGCGCGTTTTTGGTTGTGCGGTCTATGTGCCGATCTCGCCGCCCTTACGTACAAAAATGGGGCCTCAGCGAAGGATGGGAATCTATGTCGGATATGATTCTCCTTCGATTATTCGTTACTTAGAACCTTTGACAGGCGATCTGTTTACCGCTCGTTTCGCGGATTGTCACTTCTATGAGACAGTCTTCCCGTCGTTAGGGGGAGATAAGAACGTCAACGTTCCTAATGAACGACGCAAATTATCGTGGACGACTCCCACTTTGTCTCATTTAGATCCCCGCACCGCTCAGTCTGAAGCTGAAGTGCAGTGCATATTAGATCTCTAGAGCATAGCTCAGAGCATGCCAGATGCTTTCACCGATTTAGCGCGCGTGACAAGATCACATATTCCAGCTGCGAATACGCCTGCAAAGATGGATGTACCAAATGTACGATGGATTACCCTCCTGGAAGCCCGGGACGCCAATTCTGGTGATCCACGTACATTAGCGGCTAGCCAATCATCTGCCCCTACACAAAAGCGTGGCAGACCCCTTGGTTCAAAGGATTCAACACCCCGGAAGAGGAAAACCACGGCACAAGGTCCTGAAGAGCCTACCGTGAATCCGACTATCGCTTACTCATTTTACCCAACTCATGAGGAAATTCTAGATTATGGAAGCGTCCTTGAAGAGACGAATCCTCCTCCCGAGAATCGTGAGATTTCGGTCTATTATGCTAGCTTAGATGATGTGTGGTGTAGAAATGAGATGATTGTCGACGATGCATTAGCATTTGCAGTAGCTACTGAGATCATGTTGAGCGATGACATTGAACCGCGTTCCGTTGATGAATGTCGACGTAGAGCTGATTGGTCAAACTGGAAACAAGCAATCCAAGTCGAACTTGATTCACTTGCGAAACGTAAGGTGTTTGGACCTGTAGTTCCTACTCCTCCACATGTGAAGCCCGTTGGCTACAAAGTGGGTTTTTCGTTCGGAAGCGTAATGAGAAGAACGAAATTGTGCGTTACAAAAGCTCGTCTTGTAGCACAAGGTTTCTCACAACGCCCCGGGATTGACTATGACGAAACTTACTCACCCGTTATGGATGTGATTACTTTTCGATACCTTATCAGTTTGGTAGTTTTTCCGAAAAACTGGATATGCAGCTGATGGACGTAGTAACCGCGTATCTCTATGGGGATCTTGATACGGAAATTTATATGAAAGTTCCCGAAGGACTTACATTGACTGGTTCAAATATTTCCAAACCCCGGAACACGCTCTCAATTCGGCTGAGGCGTTCACTATACGGTTTGAAACAATCCGGAAGAATGTGGTATAACCGT